GGATACAGGCAGGACAAGAGGAGAGGATGGAGGACATGGATGGAAAGAGACAGACGATGACAGTAAAAGACTGGGAAAACTGTCTGTTCTGAGAACTATCACAAGACTTCATACTACTGCCAGACCAGAACTGCAAGGTGAATAAAACATTTATAAAATAAATATACAAACAACGAAAATCTCTAAAAATAAATAAATAAAAAAAACCATGAAAATGTAGTATTAAAAATAGACTATTTTCATAGGAAAAATATTTGTATTAAAAAGAACACCTTTAAAGATGACATTTAACAAAAATTATGAAGTTCCTATTATTACTACCTATTCAAACTAAAAAAATATTCAAAAGACAGACATTGAATGGCTTTGAAAATGTTTTATACTATATTATTATTTATAAATAATTAAGATGATTAAAAATGGACTACCGTTCAAAAGTGCACGGTCAGTAATTTTTAAAAGTAATTAATAATTTAATTCAGCAAGGATGCAATTTATTAAAAGTGACAGTAAAAAAAAAAAAAACATTTATAATTTTACTAAAGATTTCTATGCTTTTCTTTTGAACATTCTACCCATCAAAGAATAATAATAGAAAAATATATCCACAAAAGCATTAAGCAGCACAATCGTTTTTAACAGTGATAATAATAAGAAATGTTTCTTGAGCACCAAATCAGATTAGAATGGATTAAAAAATACTACTAATAAAACAAATAATAAATAATGGTTAAAGTAAATAAATAAATAATAATAATTTAATTTTTATTTATGAAAAGTGGTACAGCTTGGACTTGGTTTTAGATACTCACAGTATATAAATTAATATAATATGACAAGGTGTAATAAAGGTTTATATTTATGTGATGTCTCAGGTCCACAGTGTGTAGCCTGAAGAACATACAGCATCTCCACTGAAACCAGGGACCAGCTCTTTGTGGCTGTGGAAGGTAAATATGAAAAACAGTATACTGTATGTGCTGTTCTGTAAATTATCATATTGTGTGCCACTCTTTAAGATGATTACATTATTATTTACATTGTCAAAGCCACCAAAACAGCCACAAGTAAACTTTAAACACAACTGATTTGTCACAAAACCTATTTTTTGTTCCGTCTTTGTTAGAGAGCTCATGCATGTGTATGCATTGCTGCGGTCCAGCTCGATCCTATTCACTACAAGGCTTTGATAAAGATGCAGAGTGTGTTTTCCTGTTTGAGAGGCCCCTGAAAGCGGAGATGTGCTGGCTCGGCTGCTGCCTGATGGAAATAAGGGCCTACACACCAGAGAGAGAGCTTATTGGGACAGTTCACCAAAGGTAGAGATCAACAGCATACCAGATCTCACTCTCGTGCAACTAGAATATTAATCCACACTGCAAGAATCAGCCACTTAGACGGGAAAAAGCCATCTGATTGACATGTAAAACAACTAACGGTGGTTTTTGATTTTTAGGGCACTTGAATATACAGATGCAAACGTCCCAGTGTTATTTTAGTAGCATTGAGATACTATATGTTTTTATTAATATTTTGAATTATGGTTTTAATTTCATTGGTTTTATTTATTGGTTTTAATTTGAGTTAACTACTGTATAATTGCTCTGGTCCAATCAAATTAATTCTAACTCTTGTGTAATGGATGATGTAATCTCCTGTACTGTAAACCTATTATGCAGACAGAACCATCCACATCATGTTTCATCATGATGCCAACTATTCTATCAGATAAGGTCACCATTGTGTATCTAACTGCGCCCAACAAAAACCCCTCCAGTAACCTCTCTCAAACTGAATAGGGAGAGATGTGCTGAACTTTCTGAGATGAAACCATCAACATGACCTCCTTCTCAGGACAGCCATGAACAAAGACCATGCCATGTTTGTTTGTTGTCACACACCGAGCCTTTCAGCATCAGGTCATATCAAGCTAAAATAATATCAGTCACACACAATTGAACATTCACTAGGTTCAGAAAAAAACCCTTCTTATGTGATCTTCTAAAACCAAATTCACTGCATTAAGCCCTGAGGTTTATTATCAGGTGGAGCATGTTCACGCCGCATTTCGAGGTCTGTGACTTCGAGGGCATCTCGGCCGTGAGGATCCAGGGCTCCTGTTGCAATACACGCTGCCTCTCTGAGCAGGAGCTGCAGGTCAGAAACCCTCCAGCAGGCCATTTGTATCACCCATCTTTTACAAGCAGCTCTAAATTGTACTCTGTTCTAATTATTCTCATGTATTGAGGGCATCAGGTGGTTTCCAGTATTGGTGAGAGTATTGGGCGCATATGGAAAAGGTGGCCTGGATATAATGAGGAATGTAACATGGATATATTTTGGATTGGATGGTCAAATTAATATACACATATCAAGTGGTCTATATAGTAGATGCTAGAGTGATATACCATAGTGTGACTATCTCTTTCTCTCTCAGTACCTCAAGGAATGAATTTAAACACCAAAGTGCTGTTACTAGCTGCTGCCTTCCTGCTGGTAAGTTGCCAACCACACACAGATGCTGCTATTTTATTCATATGTAACAGCTTTATCGTTTATCTCTTACTGTTTGCAGAATCATATGTTTTTTTGAGATGAGCTAAGTGGAAATGCTAAAGCTTCTATCTAGGACATGAAAGACATCGGCTTCACCTGCTAACATCAGCTCTGAAGTGAAGTGTGAACCCAACAATATAGAACTATGGTGACAAGATGGAACACTGCATCATGTTTCTATGACAACTACAAGGAACATGGATTAGTAATGCTTTTCTGACCTAACTGCATTTGAGCAAAGCCACTCTACAACTGAACATTTGCACACTAAATTGAACTAAATATTAAACCTATAAAGCTATATCATATTTGATACACAAATTAGGCCTCTAAATTATTAACAGTCAAAACCTGTGATACACAAATCTACTGCATGCCTTCTCTCATCTAATCGATAGTTCAGACTTTTTTAGCAAGTGAAAGGCCTTTTAGTATAACTCCTAAGAATAACCCTAAGAATAACTTTTATATTTTCAATAATATTTCAGCATGAACATCAGCATGACTGAGGCAAGATTTACTTGATTATCCATATATATATATATATATATATATATATATATATGTATTTTAGAATAATGGTAAGAATAGATATGTTTGTCACACTTAAAAGATTCAGATCATCAAACAAATTTTAATATTCATATATATATAAATCATGTTCAAATGTGAGTATAAAATGATACATTAGGGTTTTGAGGAAAGTTTAGCTGTCCTCAATCTCTCAATCATCATTGTATTACCTTGCATCATGTTTTGCCCCACAATAAAAAAAAACTAAGAATTTCACTGTCTTACTAAGCTATTGTGAGATAAAGAGTGACAATTTATATTTATATGCAGTCGTCTATAAGTAGTCTGCTAGTTTCATCTCACTTTTTGGCCATATAAATGTCAGAAATTGCACCAAATTGCATATTTTTTGTGCAGTTTAGGCCTCTGAATAAAATTGATATATGAGCAATCATATGAGCCATAAATGTAAGGGTTACAGGGTTAAATGTTCAATGGACTCTTTTGTAATACAAAAATATATATTACAATATACTACCAACATATATTATTTCTGCATATAATAAAGATTCTTGAAATATTGTTTGTTTATAATTGTTTACATGCCAGCCACAGTATCACAACTATCTTCATGGCAAGAAACAGGTTAAATTATGAATAAAGTATTAAAAACTAAATAAAATAATAGATTTTTAGTTTATTTGATAAAAATGTTAAAACTAAATCTGTCATCACTTAATTAAAATCTTTTCATATGGCCTATTCAGCCCTTCATATTTTGATTTAGGCTATTTAAGGCCCTGTATCTTAAAGGAAATTTACTAGATACATATTTTCCATAGTTAAGGAGGACTCTATTCCCAGTTTGAACCATACCTAGGTCAGAATCATACCTAGATGTGAAGTCCAGGTAGCATTAACAGGGCTGTACATGTAACTCATGTTCTTCAAATCATATTAGATGGAAATACTTCCAACAAATCAGAGCCACACCACAGCTGAAAATTAGCAGCAGATGCATAATCAACATTTATTGCTATGATCAATCATAATTAAAAACCTTTCCTTTCCACTTATTTTTATGTACCTCCAATACAACTGTCCAGCACTGAATTTCAGGCAGTATAAAGTAGGTGTTGATACACAGCCCCCATTAACAGATCAGTGTTTGTTAGTTAGCATGTCTGAATAACATCCGAGTGATTTCTAAAACAGGGCTTGGAGTCCTGTGAATAAAGTGCTGGAGTCGCGTCTCCAGTGTGGTCTCTTCCAGCCGAGTGCCAGGATGTTGAGCGATCTTGAAAATCAGTGATTTGCCGGAGGCACAGTGAATCAGGCAGCGTGGTACCCATCCCTGATAGGGCACTGTCCTTTGGGTTTACACTCTCTTGGCTCAGGAGAAACAAAAAGCTTGCCATTATAGAGCTCTCCAAATACGTTTAGAAATATAATTCTTTTTTGTACAACAGTTCTATTTTAAAACAACTCAACACTGTAGCTAAAATACTGCACTATAGTAAAATATCCTCATCAACCTGCAACCTCACTGGTAAATAATGTGACCTAAATGAAACGTGTCTTCCTCTCAGGCCATCTTCATGAAACTGTGTTATTCAGATGATAATTCAGTTAATGTGGCTGTACTACACAAGGGCATGTTGTTGTTTTTCTTCTTGGAAAACGGTGGCAGTTCCCAGCCATTAGTTCACAGTGGCTGAACTATGTGGTCCCGCTGTGTCCCTCTGAGAGCTCGACCCAATGACTGACAGGAAAACATTCGTTCATATGTTGATGAATTGGTTCCTCCTTCTTCTTCTGCAAGAGTTTTCAGGTGATGTGGTGTTTGGAAGATGATAAAAACAGAAGCCGTAAGTCTTCAATAGAACAAATTTGTCATGCTGACCCTTTTCATGACGTCCCGATCGTTTTTATTTAAAAAACGGGTAAACTCCTCGGAAACGTCCTCTTCGGTGGTAAAATTAACTTGATAATCTAGATGGGGAGAAAAAGGTAGTACTTTTACCCAGTGATGAACATGTTGGGAATGAATCTAATATATATCTCATAAAGAGAACTGAGCAGCTCCAGTGTGAGTGATTCCGTGTCAGTCATGAGTTTATACCTGTCTTACACTCTTCAGATGAAAAACTAGCGGCCTCCGCTTGCGTTCACTAGACCATGGAAATCCTCCCAAGCTCTGAAAGATCACACACACACACACACATATATATTAATAATGTCAAATATATCAACACTACAAATAAAAACAATAAGAATGAGGGAGGAAAAACTATATACTAATGCACAATTCTATTCTCAAATAATCTGAGAACAATATTCACATTTATAAATTAGGAATTTTTAAACAATCAGAATATTTGAGTATAGTTTTGTAATTGTTAAACATTTAGCAATTGTATTTGTAATAATATTTCCTTCATTTGGATCCAAAACTGACACACTTTACCTCACAGTTAACATCTAGGGAAAAATATTAAACATATTATAGACCTGAATATGTTTAATTTGACAAAATTATTTGACTAATTTGGTAAAACTCGCATTACCTTACATACAGTAAATTTATGCATCTCGTGATCATATACTGTGTGATGGTCACATGACAAAAATGCATAATTTTTCTAGTTTAAGAAGACAGTACAACTTACTAACTTTACACATTTCCCCCTGCTCTCCCCTATTTAACTCTATATATTCATTATAAGTGATAGGTTTTACCATTTAATATGACATACAAACTACCCTTCAAAAGTTTGGAATAATTAAGATTTTTCAATGTTTATTAAAGACGTCTCATATGTTCACTAAGGCTGCATTTATTTGTTGAAAAATACAGTAAAAACAGTAAAACTGTGAAATATTATTACAAAAAAACGAACTAAAATTCTATTTTATTATATTTTAAAATGTAATTTATTCCTGAGATGCAAAGCTGACCTTTCAGCAGCCATTACTCCAGTCTTCAGTGTCACAAGATCCATTTCAGTTGTGCATTTCATTTTTTTTTTTTTTTTTTTGGAACAATAATGTTCTTTTTAGCAACATCATATGACCCCTTTAAAAGTCTTTACCATCACTTCTGAGTATTTAATGCATCCTTGCTGAATAAAAGTAGTAATTTTTTACTGACTCCAATTTTTTGCATGGTAGTATATACAGTCAAACCAAAAATTACCAGCAGATATAATTTTTTATATTTTTTTACTAGTGGGTGCAGGACACTATAGTTCATTTATGTAAGTGAGGATAGCAAAATAAGTAAACTGTGACATATTATACCCCAAAATTCTTCATACAGTGGACTACCTGTAAAATTGATAAAAATTTGTTCTTGTGTGTGAAATGTTGAAGGTGTCTGAATAAATTTTGGTTTGACTGTATACACATAAATATATGAGTGTATTGTATAACTCACTTGATGCTATCGGTGTGTGTTTTATACTCCATAATGGTATTAGGAGGCAGGTTGAGAACTCTGCGTAAGGTGTCTCTAATGCGAGCAGTGGTGGCCTGATCACTGGCTGTCTTATTCCAGATAGAAATGATATCCTCCTTCGAACAAAAGCACAAATATTTATGACTATACAGAAAAAACTATTATTTACAATATAACAGCTCCACTCATGAACACAGAATGTGCAAAATGCTGTCAATGTTCTAATTAAACAACTGCCATACTGCTTACTGCAAACTACACTGTATGTTATTTTATAAAAATAATATTTAGCAAATATAGGTTTTATTTGCATGCTATACAATATACAAACTATATTGCATGAATATTGCAGTACCTGGAAGCGAACGGACACAACGCTATTTTATAAAAATAATATTTAGCAAATATAGTAGGTTTTATTTGCATGCTATACAATATACAAACTATATTGCATGAATATTGCAGTACCTGGAAGCGAACGGACACAACGGCCCCACAGATCTCCTCGCCCACCATGAACTGCTCACCCAGCATGGCCAAGATTAAATTCTCCCAGCACCGTGACGCCAGGCCTTTACGAAGCCGTATGATCCATTTCCCTCCACTCTTATTAGCATCATCCTAAATAATACAATCCGAATTCTATTTTCTGTCATGCGAAAAGAAGCATTCATACAGTACATGTGTTCTACAAAACTCACCTCCCACATGGGTTTGACTCCTTCCTTAAACAGGTGGAAATCGCTGTGACCAGTCAGATCACCCGGTCGGATCATGTGACTATAAAAACGCCAGAACTGCTCCACCTACAAACACAGGGCAGCTGTTGAACTGTCAATCATGTGATCATGTGACCTACAGTAAGGCAGTCAAACTTCATCCCCCACTGTGCCTGTGTTTGAATCTTCAGTACGTGAGTCTGAATAAATATGTCAATGTGAGTTTGTGTGTCTGTAGGTTACCGAAGCAAAGCTGCCGATCTGTTTAATGTTCTGTTCGTAGCTCTGTGTGCTGGCTGGCCGTCCTGGTGTGCGACGAGAATACCAGAACGAGTAGTTGTACTGAAGAGGGTGCTCACCAGCCCCTGGGACCACCGCCTGCACAAGTAAAGCAGCTCATAGTTATATAGAACAATCTATTATAATTTACATAGGATTTCTTTCTGTCTATCAATTCAAGTGAGCTTTATTGGCATGAATTATACAGTATAGCCAAAGCATTGACCTATCTATCTATCTGTACCTTTCTCTTGGTAGTGTTTGAGTCCTTCTCCTCTTTGTCATTTTTTTCTTTCTCCCCGTCTTTCGGTGAGCAGTTGTCCTGGTCGTGATCTCCACTGTCATCATCTTTCAGGCTTAAAGGGAGATAAAACTGTCAATTCCACTCACCCACAATATGTTATTATTTTAGTCACTGTGGCTTCAATCAGGGCAATAATAATTGCAGTGGTTCCAACAATCAAAAAAATCAAAAATGTGTGATTGTGTGATCATTCATATTTAAAATAAGTCTCTTCTGCTCACCAAGACTGCATATATTTGACCGAAAATATAGTAATAACCACAATATTGTCAAATATTAATACAATAAAAAAAACGTTTTCTGTTTGAATATATTTTAAAATGTAATAATTCATTCCTGTGATGGCAAAGCTGAATTTTCATCATCATTACTCCAGTCTTCAGTGTCACATGATCCTTCAGAAATCATTCTATGCTGATTTGATGCTCAAGAAAGCAACATAATGTTTTTATGATGTTAAAAACAGTTCTTGCTGCTTAACTGAAGACTGAGTAATTAATGGCTGCTAAAAACTTAGATATGCCAACATATGTTCAACATATTAAATTAAGTCATACAAGTGGCTTTACAATGTACACTTTTTTTCAGTACCATGTTATTAACTATCTGATACCAAAAATCATAGTACCATGGTACTACCACGGTACATTTTGTAACGGTAATTACATTTCTGAGGATTGTTAGAAAGGATATTATATTATAAAACTCGACTTTATTAGCGAAAGGACAGAGGCTCTGTGTGAGTTTGCAGAGACAGACTGCACAACTTTATTTGACCCTGCGCTTATAATGGTCAGTGGCTGCTCATGAGAAGTTTGCAAACATAATAAAGTACGCTGCTTATGTAACAGATGAATATATAGTAGTTTCGTTTTCACGTGCCATGTAAAGTATAGCGTGTTTGGCTTGTGCACAACCCCTCGCGTGTTTCCAGCCAGCCTACACCGCCTCATGCCATTCCAGCTGGCTGCAGAGAAGAGTTTGAGCCGGGGTCGCAGAGCACCTGCCCCCGCTGCTCACACACACGCGTAACCCGGTGATCCGTCCTCGGCCTGGAGGCCCTGAGCATGCAGATCTGGGGCTAGAAGTGGTTATTTGCATGCTGCAATCACCGCATGCATTGAAAAACACTATCCAACACAAAATCTTAGTGGAGTCCAATCATGCAACTAACACATGGTGACCTCCCATCCCATGCCAAAGCTTCTAGACACACCTCTCCTCTCCCCCCCCACGCCCTCTCTGAGTTAAAGAGACGCTTGAAACGCATGCATTTGCATTTACGCACGACTAATCCTTGCCAACGTGCAGCGTCGGGTTGATTACTCACGCGTCAAATTTGTTGTTCATTATCTTCTAGGTGAGTGTCTTTATCCGCTCTCGCTCTCGCGCAGACGGCAGCCCCGTCAATTCCGCAGCAACGGCGGCGCGCGCTAGTGGTGGTGGCGGCCGCGCGCACGCTGTACACTTGCTGAATATTTGTATTTTTGCAGAGTATACAAAAGTGGGAGAAACTGTAACCTTATCCTAGTCTAATAAACATGTTGTGTTGAATAGCTCATGTATAAAAAAAGTATCTATATAAACACACATGCATACATACATACAGTTCCTAGAAATAGAAGGAAATTATTTAATAAAGTAAATTACAACTGAATTCCTTTAATAATACTAAATAAATAAATTATGAATTTAATTAAATTATTAAGAATTTAATTGGGTCAAGTAATGTCAAATTTCACAAGTTTTTCATATTTAAACTTTTTACTTCATTTTACTAAATTTCACTAAAATTATATAAATATATATACTGTGTATATATATACACACACACACATAGATACAACCATATAATTATATACATTTAAATTTTTGTTTCTGAAAATAAAAGGTAATGATTTAATAAAAGAAATTAGCACTGATGTCATATTTTATTAAATTTTTAATAATTTAATGGGGTCAAGTAATGTTGGGTAAGCTTAGTCATTGCTGAACAGATGTAAAATTTTATTTTTAAATAAAAATGAATATAAAAAAAATAGTTTTTATATAAAAAGTTGTATAAACATCTTATGTATGAGTGTAAAATAATTCTACACATTTAAAAAAAATTTGTATTCAAACAAAGTAGGATTCAAGTTTTAAAATTCAAAATAATTTAATGAATATTGCTGTACTTATAACAGACGCGCACATGAGGAGGAAAGGGTCACAGCAGTGTAATTGCTTCACATAACGAGTCATTGTGAGTGTAAAATAATTCTACACATTTAAACAAAATTTGTATTCAAACAAAGTAGGATTCAAGTTTTAAAATTCAAAATAATTGAATGAATATTGCTGTACTTATAACAGACGCGCACATGAGGAGGAAAGGGTCACAGCAGTGTAATTGCTTCACATAACGAGTCATTGTGTGGCGGCACCAGGCACTGGATCAGGGTGGACAGTGACGCGCTACAAGTTCGTCACTAGTGCGGCACTAACAGGCCTGCGGATCCTCACACACAGGCTATTAGCACTCACAGAGGGGCCGACGGGGCAGCGACTGCGTGAGGGGCTCCAACTCTGCGGCACACTTCAGAGAGAGCTGGAGCTTCAGTAAGCCGCTGACCCTCCCACTTATTCAATCACTGTCTGCCCTTCTTTTGCCCAGTAATACCCCCATCCTTATTCTTTTGCATCCTTGTTTTCTCTTTCTCTCAAAATTTGAATTTTTTTTCTTTCACTGAAATTTACATATCATGATGGTAGTATAAATCTGTGTGAATATAAAAGTGGTAATGCCTGTGGTAATGCCTAACCACGTGGTAATGCCTGTTTTTGATATTCTAGTAAATTAGATACTTAAAAATGCTTTTTAGTTGATTATTTTCGCCTTTTTTGCAACTTGGACAAAAATCATTCATAATAAATAATTCATAATAAATAAGTCTGGCATCAGTACACATTTATAGTACAGTATGTAACACATGTTTCTTAGAGGGCGGTTGTTGAAAGACTAGGCAACCGTTGTGACAAATCCCTAAACAGTTTATACCAGGGGTGTCCAAACTCGGTCCTGGAGGGCCGGTGTCCTGCAGAGTTTAGCTCCAACTTGCCTCAACAGGTGTGTTTAATTAAGGTTGGAGCTAAACTCTGCAGGACAGTGGCCCTACAGGACCGACTTTGGACACCCCTGGTTTATACTATGATTTATCCACCGCTGGTGAGTTTTGGTAGCTGTTTGTGGTAAGTGAATTGCACCAATGGCTCCCATTAGGGTGGATGAGGCTGTGCAGAGCCACATACTACACACCATGAGACTCCTGTCCTGAGGATGGAGGGCAAGACTTTCATCTCAACATAGGCATGTGATCCACTTCCTATCGTCTCATCACAGAGATACAAGAGACCTGTGAGAGGAAAGAGAAAGACAAATCTTACATCTTACAGTGGAGAGCAGTGGAAGTAAAACAAAAACAGAACTGTCAATTACAGAAATGGTACAAGCAAATAAGCAAATAATATTTAGTAGGAAAATATATGTAAATGTATATTAATATAATTCATCATAAATAAAAAATACACTAAATTTGAACTAGATTAAGTTTATTTGTTATTTATCAGGTTACGTTTATTTGTTTTATTTTTCAAAATGATACAATGGAAGTCAATGGGAACTGAAACTGTTTGGTTACCAACATTTTTCAAAATATCTTCGATGTTCAACAGAAGAAAGAAAGCCGTATAGGTTTGAAACAACATGAGGTTGAGTGAATCATGACAGGATTTGATTTTGGGTGAACTACTCCTTAAAATGAGGTGAACGATCATTACCTCCTGAACGGCATGGCCCAGAAGCTCTTGACTCTGCATTGCTTTCCTGAGGAGGTTGACAACATTAGTACTTCACTATATTAGAGCCAAAGATTTAAGGCCAATGTCAACTAGCAACAAGAAACTACATTTTACCTGTTTTTTTTTTATCTAGGATTAGTTTTTTCACAGTGCATTGACCAGTTAAATTCTAATTAAAGTATGTCTAATTACAGTATGTAACAATTTTTTGAAGAATGTCTACTAGTGGTCGACCGATATTGTTTTTTTGACAGCTGATGTCAATATCTTAGAGAGCAGGGTGGCCGATAGCCGATATAAAGCTGATATATGTATGTATGTGTGTGTGGTATTTATTTTAATTAATATTTAAGAAATTTGAAATAATTTGAAAATGAATTAAAAAATTTGTCAAATAAACATACTTGTATTTTAGATGACAACTTCTTGATTCTATAATCCTATTAGAATATTTTTCACAAATAAATAAATTTTTTAAAAATATATAAATCAAAAGGAAGCAAACACTGTAAACAACAAGGCACTCAGTAATCTGGGATGTTTGTGTGCATTGGGAATCATATTTTTTCAAATTAAACCAAGGTAACACTCATTTTACGTACAGCACACAGTGAAAATGACATGAGTATGACAGTGGGCAAATGAATAAAGTGGAACATAGTTTGAAATCATGAATTTAAAGAGTACACGCGATCATGCAGGATACAAATGCACACTTCATAACATCTCACAACTGGATTTGACCAAGTCTGCAAGGTTTGTGAAACTAAATGTTTATTAAATGTTATTCTATTACTAATAATATGAAAGCAATCGTTATAATACTTTATTGTATACATTTTAATTCCTTTGTTTAACAGTTCTATCTGATTATTAGACAGACTTCTATCCATATCAGACAGAACTGTTAAAGGGGTCCTATTATGCTCTTTTACAAAGTCTTGATTTTGTTTTGGGGGTGTACTAGAACAGGCTCTCATACTAGGTTGTATTTTTCACATATTTTACATTATTACAACACCTCTCTCCCCAGTCTGGCATGAACGGCTCGAATAGTTCCTGTATCAAATGAAAACCCGCCTTCTGAAATATGAAATGTGCTGTGATTGGTTAGCTGGGCCAGTGTGTGTTGTGATTGGCAGCACTCGGCG